ACCCTGGGTTTATGGTGTGAACTTTTGTGGTGGAATGCCTGTGAATTTCAGCGGTGCAGTCTCTTTTGGTTATCCTGTCGTTCTCTGCTTCCACCTACTCAAATATGCAGCAACTTTTGGCTTCTTTCCTACAGCAATGTGCAATTTGTCTCTCTGACTCTACTATTGGGAGGTCTCTTCTATGGGTCCAGCTATGGTCTTTTCATATTTTCAATTTGATTGTGACTCTTGTGAGTAAAAGAAAGAAATGACAAGGAAAGAAATAAAAGAAGAAAGAAAAAATGGTAGGGGAATGGAAGAAAGAGCAATAAGTTTAGAAAGAAAAGAAGAAGAAATAAAACAGAAAATCCAGGAAAAGAGGACAAAGGTATGGAAGATGAAACAGTAGTAAAATATAAATGAAATAACAGATTATTTTAAAAAAAGCAAAAAGATAAAGAAAAGGAATGGAGAAGGAAGAAAAGTAAAAAAAAAAAGAAATAATAAAAATAAAATAAAGTAAAGTTAAAAAAAAAACAAGAAACAAAAAACAAAAAACACACAAACAAAAAGAGTCCCCCAAAAACAACATCAGAAAAGGAAATGTCACTTGTTGGCTTCAAACTAGCCGAACCGGTTTTTCTGGGTGCAGTTGGGTGAGGGTCGATTGTTGTGGTTTTTTCACCCAGCCCCTCTCAGGATCCAGACACTTGGCACCTCTCCCCAGCTCCCTACAATGGGGAACTAGGACTTCCTCACAGCGCTCCCCTCCCAGGGGTTACTGCCATGGACTGGTTTGCTGTTTTTGCAGGCACCTGCACCGGCCTAGTTGCCTGGTTCCTTCGGGATTGAGCACAGACCTGCCCCATTCTGTGGGGAAGCTCTAGGCCCTCTGCCCAATCTTGGGTTTGCTGCCAAGCTGGGTGTGAAGCAGACCAGGCTGTTGTGTCTTGGATTCAGAGCCCCACGCTGTACCTCTCAGTTCTCCTGGGCTGGCAACCACAGAGTCCTTGGTTGGGGCCCTTTGTCCTCCGCACCCTCTCTGCAAACTCTATCAAACAAGTCTCTCCTGGCACCCCACCTTGCTTGGCCAGAAAGGGAGAGGGTTGAGGGTCTCAGCTCTTTCCCCAGGACCCCTCAGCACCCGGGACTTCCAGATAGTCTGAGGGGGGTGGACTGGAAGCCAGGATCCACCTGAGGACTGGGCGCTGATCTAGAAACTCTGTGCGCAGGTCATGGCATGCTGCATGGTGTGTATCCCTTCTGCTCCTGTGTTGGTCTGGGTCCCCTGGCCAACCTCTGCAAAAAAACCTAGGGATGGAGCAGCACCATGCAGGGCGCTGAACCCAGAACTGTGTGCAGGCTGAAATCTCTTCTGCTCCCCTCTGGTTGGGTCTCTTGGCAGGTCCAGGCCCAAAAATCCTAGGAAGGGAGCTTTCTGGGCACTGAACATTGGCCTAGGCGCCCTCAGGCACTTGCCCAGATACACTGCGTGTCAGGCGACTAGTTCCCCAAATTGCGCTCAGGCTGAAATTCCTTCCACACCTCTTTGCCTGGGCCACTTGGCCTGCCCAGCGGAAAAATCCCAGGGAGGGAGCCTTCTGGGCGCTGAACGCTGTCCCAGGGGCCATTGGGCTCTCGCCACTGGGCGCTGGTTCCCCTACAATGCACTGGTGGAGATCTCTGCTGTTTCTCTTTGCTCCATCCCAGAGCCTACTGTACCACTGCTGTCTCCCTACCGTCTGGTTCCTCCATGACCGTTGAGGTTTCTGGTCTCTTATTTTCATATATGCTTGGAAACTGCTGGCTTGCTGGTTTCACCTCCTCTGATCGGACAGGTTTCTCTCCCTTTTGTAGTAGGAACTGGTATCTGCTCCGTCCTAGTCCATCGCCATCTTGAAAGCCCCTCTCAAGGTAAAATTTGTCTCCACTGTTGGTGTTCACCTTCTGACTTCTTTCTGGATCTGTCTCTGGTTTTGTCACTGCTCCAGGTCATACTGTCTTACTCTTGAGGGGGTTCAGGGAAAAATTAAAAACCCATTGGTGGTTGTTAAGCCTGCACAGCTGGTTTTGCAGATCTTCCCAGCTCCTGTTGGTAGTTAGGGGTTAGGCTCCATTTCTCCAGTGGTTTGGCAAGGAAGTGGGCTCAGTCTGCATTAAACAATCACAAGTGCTCAGTTTCCAGCCCATGTCCTCAGAGCACTGTATGACCTGCACTCTCCACTCTGTGCCGTTGTGCTGGATTTGTGTCAAAAGACCACCTCACTTTGCATCCCTTTGATCCTTCAGTAAGGTGCACTGAGTGGGAGCAAATTGCACTGACCACAGTCCTCTTTCTTTGATGGCCAGACAGCTGTGTGCATGGTCCCCAATCACTGCACCTCAGTTCCCCTTTTGAAAGTAGTCTCTTTGGCTTCAGTTTCCCATTTGAAAAGTCTTTTTAGGCACCACTGGCACTCCTCCACTGCCTGACTTTCCACACACTCCAACTCTCTGGCAAGTTCAGAGTCTGTCTCAGACATGGCCAGTCATGGTCTACCTCTTCTCCCAGCTCCAGGTGCCGCTAGGATTTCCACCCCACCTCTGGCACTGTCCCAGCCAGCTGGCAACTTACAACCTGGCCTGGGTGCACTGCCAGCTTTTTTATATCCTGCAACTTTGCACCTTCAAGTCTCTCCTGTGGTGAGTCTGCCATTTACCAGCTGTCAGAGTGAAGGGAGCTGCTATGCTAACTATCACTGATGTAGCTCTCTTCCCATGATTTCCCTGCAGCAGCCTGTTTTCTGGCAACACATCCAGGGAATTTCCCTGTCCCCATCTGCCTATGAAACCTCCTTACCACACATTTTGAAGCACCCTCTGCACACTTTGGCTTCCAAACTTCATATCAGTTAAAATTCTGTTGGCTGATCACTTTGTCCTTCAGAAGATCAGATAAGTGTTCTTGCTGGATGCACAAGCAAGAGAGCTCAGCTCCCACCTACTTCACTGCCATCATCTCTGAGAAAGATCTTATCAGAGGGACAATAATAATCACTGAACATCAACGTCTCTCAAAAACTCAGAATGGCTCTGTAGTGAACACACCAGTGTCAATCAAGGGGCAGAGGGTATCAGCATCAGAAGGGTTAGACCTGCCCACGTGGCCACGGAGAGGAGCAAAAGTCTCTGACCTGGGTTGTACATGGCTACAGGATAGTCCAGCCCCTATGCTCCTTGGACCAAAGTTCCCCTCTCTACTAGGTCTTGACCATACAGAAGCACTGTTACATAATGATAATGAACACAGACTTGAGAGCCAGACCATCTGAATTCCAGTGTCTGTTACTGTTTCAATGTATATCATGTGTTACTGCTGTGCTAGTCACTGCTTCCTGGCTGAGGACGTTAGTCCACATCCATGTCTCAGTTCTCTCATGTATAAAATGAGGATCCTAATGATAGTACCTGCCTCCTAAGGTTGTTGTGAGGATTAAATGAGTTAAAATGTAAAATATTTACTGCACTGACTGGCCAAACTGAGCTCTAGATGTGTTTATTGTTTTTAGCATTTTAAAATCTCCAGTTCTCACTTTGAAACCTGTTTATGTCCCTTCAACATTCTGACCACCTCAACTATAACTGCCCACAAGGTCAGGCTAATGATGGAAAATTTCATTTTCCTTATTTACATGTCTGCTCTATTTTCTATTACTTGAACTAGCTTGAGTGAGTCTCCGTCCTTTGTACTAGAAAGAGCTTCTACAATGTAAGCTGTGGAAAAATCTTACGTATAAACTTGTGGCTGTCACAAGTATGCACCACTGCTTTGGAATCTTGGAGAGGGTGATTGGGAGCATGGGGCCTCTAGACTACAGCATTTCCCTTGGGAGGGAGCCTGAGTCCAGACTCTGTGACAGGCTGAGCTGCCTTTTCTTGAGGCCATCATGTTTGGGGATCCATCCACTTCCCATGAGCTGACTCCACACTCCAAAACAGGTAAACTTCAAATAAAATTATCCTATGAAAGGAGCAGGTGCTGATGAGCTAACATGACTATTTTCTGAGTGTAAGAAATATAAATTGTCTTTCTGAATCCAAGTCACTCATAGAATGTGGCCAGCATTACAATATTCACCAAGACTCACTAGGACCCACCAGGAACACAGCAGTGCAGCATCATGGTAAAAAGCTCAGGGTAGCCCTGGCTGGTGTAGCTCAGTGGATTGAGCCCGGGCCTGCAAACCACAGGACTGCGGTTCGATTCCTAGTCAGAGCACATACCTGGGTTGCAGGCCAGTTCCCAGCAGGAGACTCAAGAGAGGCAACCATACATTGCTATTTCTCTCCTTCTCTCCTTCCCTTCCTCTCTAAAGATAAATAAATAAAAATCTAAAAAAAAAAGCTCAAGGTAGACATGGGTTAAAATCCTGGTTGCATGATCTTGGCTGAGCAAAAATCCCAACTCACTAGGTGTCAGCTTTCTTAACTTTAAAATGGGGGTAATAATAGAAGCTACCTCATACAGTTACCTACATTGGGTGACATAATGTGTGTAAAGTCTTCCAGCTGGTCATTTTAAAGGACCCAGCAAAACCCAATAAGAATAAACAAAGATACAATCCACTTTTTGGTGATATCTGAGATTTGAGGGCTTTGAATATGTTTCATCATTATATAGGGGTGTGTAAGAATCTAGGTTTTTTATATAAAACATTTATATGAAATATTGAGCACACCCAGGAAAAGCAATTTAGGCCCCCTCTAATTCTGGCTCCTGATCTTCACATCTTTTCTACCTGCCAAACTGAGGATGAAGAATAGAACTTCCCAAATGACCTCTAAGTCTGGGCCTCAGAATGCTGTGCCCTCTCCCTTGAAGTTGCTCCTTGGGTGGTTCACTCCTCCCAGGAGCCTCAGGAGAGAGATGACAGAACACTTCAGTTTATTTCTGATCAGAACAAACAGATAATTTTAAAGAGATTGTCTGTGAAGATGTTTAAGCAAAATAAAAGACAATACCAACAAGAGTTAGAAAATAAAATGTGTTATGACAATATTTTTATTGTGCATAAGATTTAAAATCCCACCTTGGGACAAATAAAATCATGTTCCAAATTTTAGGCAGCCATGTATTAGTGCTCATCCCTGTCCCAGAATCAGCACCAGGCAAAGGGATTTCTGGAGTCACCAGTACTCATTAGTTTCTTCACACCACATGTGGTCAGTTACAACCTCTCCCAATACCACCTGGCTTCCTATCTCTCCTACAGCTCTTCACTCAAATGCATACATCTCCGAATCCCAATTCTCTTCTTTCTCCCATCTCACCCCTCAAATGCCACTTCTTGTCCAGCCCTAGAGGAGCCTCTGTTCTTTGGGTTAAAGGTCACAGGTCAAATTCATCCCCCTGCCTCCACCCAGCACAAGGGTTAAGATGGTGCTATTTCTGTTCCCACAGCTGAGCTGTATGAGACCCATTTTTTCCCATCTCATTCCTTTCATTTCATCCCGTGATCTCAGGTGGTGATCAACAGGTAAGGAAAAGGATTTTCCCCAAGGGTGGAATGTCATCCTTGGGTTATGGTTTATGGCCATGCCTCCTTTGTCTCCCTCCCACTGAGGTCCTACATCTTCCTCTCAACCAGAAGTGACACCACTGGGAGGAGAGAGGCATTGAGTCTGGTCAGGGATAGGGATGGCAGCATGTCTGTTCATGAGGACAATGGATATGACCCAGCGTCCTGTAGGTTATAGATCCTGCAGGTTCTGTCATTCCTTCTTCCTAAGATGCTTCCTCCCCACTTTTCCTCATTCATCACACTCATCTTTTAGACTCACTTTTTCCAAAAAGCCATGCCCAACTCACCTTCTGCTCTCCAAGATGGATTATGCTCCCTCATCTGAGCTTCCCTTACACTCAGGTCACACCCCTATCACAGCACTCATCACGTAATAGTATAATTTCCTGTTCTTGTCTCTGTCTCTTCCTATGAGCTCCTACAAACAAGGGAAAAGTTTTTTTTTCTTCATTTTCATGTCACCAGTGGCTACCATGCTGCTTGGTTCATAATTAGCACAGAATAAATGTGTCTTGAGGATATGAGTAAATAAACCCTATTATTTTGGGATGAAAATAAGATGAAGAGAGGTGAGATACCCTACTTAAGATTGCAGGATTGGTTGGTTACAAGGCTGGGACTAAAACCCATGTCTTCTAGCTACGCATTTCGTATTCCTTCTTTTACACAGCTCCTTCTGCACTGGTGGGGGTGGGGGTAGAATAGCTGGTAGTGGTACAAGTCTCTAGACCATCTACTGAGCAGTGAGCAAATGGCTTGATCTGTAGATTGAAGGTCATCCCAGTTTGTCCTTGCTGAAGTCCTGACTCCATTATATCATCTAAAGCCATGATATCTGTTTCAAGTCTACCAGGTGACCCAGTCCATACAGTCATTTCTTTAAGTCTTGTACCTAGAGGAAGCTAACTTCACAATCTTAGGAGCTCAGGAAGAAACTGGACCCTCGGCCCCAGAGTCCAAAGAAGGGGAACACCTTCTGGGTGAAGGAGGTAGTGAAAGTGTAGATGGGTTCCCGGGTAACATCATTGAGAAAGGTTACCCAGCCCACTTCATAGTCAAGAGACACCCTCACCTGTCTGGGCTGCTCCTTCAGGGCAAGCCGCGTGGGAAAGGAGCCAAGGGCTGAGACGAAGCCCCATGCCAGCCTCATGGCCCACACCCCCTCCTCTGGCCTCAGCCGAAGCTCTCCCTTCCGCTGCACGTCCTCACTGACCACACCTATGGTGCAGCTGCCACCATGAGCCAAGTCTACATTCACCACCCATGTGTGTCTTCCCCCTGTGAAACCATCGTGGGCCAGGACACAGGTGACCCGGTCAAAACGCTGAGGGTTGTCTGGCGAGTTCTGCCATTTGTAGGAGAACCGAGCCTGCTGGTGGTCATCAGACAAGAGGAGCTTGGGGTGGGAAGTCTTGGGGTCTAGAGAGATATGAGCTGTAGGGAAACCAAAAGGAACACAGATGTTAGCAGACATGTTATCTCCTTCAAGAAAAGCCTAAAAAGTCCCCCTGGCACCCACCTGTTAGTGCTATTATTACCAACAACGTGCCTAAGCAAACCAGCACCTGGGAACTTATTAGAACTGGGCTATCAGGCTTCATGCATATCACCTGAACTGGAATCGGTATCTTTAATGAGGTCTTCAGGTGATGGGTGTGCATGTGAAAGCCCGAGAAGCCTGCCCCCAAGGATGAGTCAGCCCTGGTGTTTTTGCTCCTTCATTCTGCCGTTCTGTCATCTGGAGGAGGATTGATGCCCACAGCTCGGCTGCCTCCTCCAACCTCATGCTGCTGACACTTCTGCCCCTCTTCTGTATCTGGTACTTGGGGGACATAGATGCTCCTTTTTCTGTCCACACCTACGGTCATTCAGACTCTGCTCCTGGCTCACCACAGGTTATTCTTTCTGCCTCAGTAAATCAAAAACCTTCAGGGTCTGAGGGCCACTTTCTAACAACAAAAACTTCTGCAAACCCCTGCACATTGTGACTTTTAGTACCCATACATTGAGACAAAGTGATAAATTCAGATATGTGCTTGGTTCGGAGAGTTCCTTCCAACAGCTCTGTGGCTTCTCAGGGTCTTTGGCTGATAGTGAACAACAGCCTTGAGTGGGGTCTACTCTGTTCATTTCTTTCCACACCAGCTGCCCTCCTTCTGACAACTTTGAGGGAGTAGGGGCAGCTGACCATGGTTCTAAGAGTGTGATTCAAAACCCAGATCAAAGCTTCTGTCATCCAGGACATCTTTCCAGATACACCTTGTCCCATTTTGATTTAATCTTTCTACCCCCTCATCATGTGTAGATCAGAACAGGAGCCAGCTGTGTGGAAAGTGTGTGTACCTGTCCTTTGTTCTCTGGCAAGCCTTGCAAAGGTAATAATATGTATGTATTTATGTGGGAATGTGTGTACATATGTGTGTGTATAACCCTTTCAATTTTAGATTCCTCTCTCCCTCCCATCCAGATATAGACTGCTTACCTGGTTCATAGTCCAACTCAAAGCAGAGTTTTTCTGTACAGAGGAAATAAAGCAGGATGAGATTTCACTAGTCTCACGAAATCATAGAACAGTTAGTGATGAAGAAACTGAGTCCCAGAGAAGAGAAGGGACAGAGAATAATGAGAGCTGGAACCCTCCAGGCCAATGCCCTAAACTTGAGCAGGTTTAAGTTTAAGACAACACTGGTTTCTGACTCAGTTGACCTGGATCAAACTGAGCATTTGCATGTGTAACAAGCCCACAGGGGCTGCTGCTGCTGCTAGCTGGGAGCCCACTTTGAAACCCATTCCCCTAACCCTAAGCAGGTGGTGCCCTGTCTTGCTCACCTGTGTCCTCAGTGCTTCCCACAGAGCCAAGGACATAGTAAATGCTAAAAAAAAGTACCTATTTAATGAATGGATACATGGGCTAGGTTATTTCTTCTGCTTGGAAATTTTTGAGATAGTCAAAGGACAGTCCTCTATTAGAATAAAATCTCTCACTACCAGGTCACTGGGAATGCTTGCAGGAAGTGAACTTGTGGAGAGAGTGCTTCTAGGGGGACACTTTTGTGGGTGGGTCTTTTAGAAATAGGTGGTATCATTCATGATGTCATATGTGTCACAAGTAGCTGCTGGCAAAGAACGACATTCCTGACTTTCATGTCAAGTCCTCCACACCATCTCCAACCACTCCCTGTTCCAGAAAAGGGGCACAGTCCCCACAGGGTAGTCTGGCTCTGAGAACCAGAGTAACAGGGAAATGAGGCAAAGAGGAGAGAGGAAGGTCAGCATTTTTTTTACCACAAGGCAAAAGGAAATAGTGTTGCTGATTATTAATTAACAGTGTTCATCATCAAAAACTTATCATGTACTACAAATGCTTCTGTGGATTTTAAAGTTATTGAGAATAATAGATTTTATTAATCATTATTGTTCTTATTGCTTAATGCCAATCAATCAGATTTGTGTGTTTTTCAACACAAACTGTTGTGTTTAACTGAGTGTTTTTACACTCAGTTTTTTTCTATAAATCTTCACCTTTATTATTTATTTTCATTGTCACATCATCCCAATAAGCAGATTTTATAAAGATCTGCAAATAAGGAGACCAAGGCACTGGAGGGTACAAGCCTTTTGGAAGTGCCAGTGCTGGGCAGCAGAGTATAGGGCTGCACCTACAGCCAGGTTTCATGCCCTGTGGTATGTGCAGGCCTGGGAAGCGCTTACCCAGAAACAGCTTCATCTCCCTTTGCAGCGGGAAGACCTGATAGGGGAAGTCACGAATCCTCTGGCCCAGCTCAGGGGATACAGCCTCTGGTTTCCGGCACTTTCTAGTTTCACATCTAGGAGCACAGAATGACAGAGTTGGGCATTTTCCTCCTTTGTGATACCTCCAGGCTCAACCAGTCACCTTATTCTAACTGGGCATGAAGGTTCCAGTTCCAACAGGATGGACCCCATTGCCTGCTCTTGGGCAATACTATGCTGGCATGTGTATCTACCACTGTATATGGGAATGCATTTGAGTAAGTGAAAATGTACCTAAAAATTTTATCCTAAATATGAGACTGTCATAAATTTGTATGATACTAACTGGGCTTGTGGTGCATGAGTGTATGCATGTGCTTATGTGGGAAAGGAAAACTACATCACTTACCTTATTAGAGTGCTTCTGATATTCTGGAAGGAGAGAGAGAGAGAGAGAGAGAGCGCAAGGTTTCAGTTTCCATCTTCCTCCTCCCACTTTTCTTTTTTTTTTTTTTTAAGCTCTTGGTATATTTACACTCTTTTTTATTTTGTTCTTTTTTTTAATATTAAATTTTATTTAGTTACTTTTCAAGTACTTTTTTTTTAAATCTATTTCTCCCATCCCACCCCACCCCCACCCCCACCCCCCGTCCGGTCTCCCCCCTCCTTCCCATTCCCCCCCCCCAGTCCTCATCTCTGTGTCTTTCATACTTGTTCCTCAAAATCCCTCCCCCTTTTTCCCCTTAAGTTCCCTTCCCTCTCCCCTCTGGTCGCTGCCCACTTGTTCTCTATTTCAGCGTCTTTGTTTTTATTCTGTTTGCTTGTTTGTTTTATTCTTTAGCTTCCTGTCAAAGGTGAGATCATATGGTATTTGTCCCTCCTCCCACTTTTCTTATAACCATATTCTTAGCTCTGGGTAGAAAAAGGACACCAAATCCAGAGTCACAGCATTTTAGGCTTTCTGAGGCTTCCAGGATCATAGAGCCCAACCCCTTTAGTTTATAGATCCAGACGGTGAAATGAACTGCCCCTGCTGTCAGAGGCAAAGGCAAGAATCACTCAACGTCTCCTGATTGTTGGTCTGAGTGTCTCCCCCTAAATCATGCTCCTTTCAGATATCTTGTTGACACCCCAATATCTCTCCTGCAGTGGGAGGAAATGAAACAGAGCAGGAAGAACTTCCTAACTGGTGGGCAGTGGCACAGAGAATAGTTTGCCTTGGAAGTAGCAGCTGACATTTGCATAGTACTTGATGTGTTTCAAAGGCTGCTTTCATTTGCATTTACTGCTGGGTCCTCACAAAACCCCTGTGAGGTAGAAAAAGAAAATGTCTTCCTATTTGATAGATGATAGCATGGAGAGACACAGACCAGGGAAGCAAGGACTAGAACTCAGAACTTCTGGTCCTGTGACCCATCTTCCACTGACTATAGGGAGACCAGATGGGCAGAGCAGGGGCAGGTCTCACCGTCAGGAGCTCTGTGGCTGGCTTCTCCTTCTTCTCCTCCAGTTCTGCAATCAGCGCACTAAACCGGCACATCTCCCTATTGACCAGGACATCAAACTCATCCTGTTGCTTCAGGATGTCCCCATCCAGTCTCTCCAGCTGGGCTAAGAGGACACTGTGCTGCTGCTCCAGGACCTGGCTCAGGTGTGCAAACTCAGAGATCACTCTTTGTCTCTTGGTGGACACCTGAGTCTGAGGGGACCAGAGGAAAGGCCAACATGAAGTTATTCCTCCTCCTCCTTTTCCTCTTCTTCCTTTTTTTCCTTAGTTCATTCCCATCTCCCTCCTGGCCCAGATCCACATCCTCCAAGGTTCATTGGTAATATCAGAGTCCCCCACCCACCCAGGTCCCCAGGCAGACTTGGAAGGGCAGCATACTTCCTTTCCACCTGCCACACTACTTCTGGGAACTAGACTATCCAGCGTTGCCTCAGAGGAGACAGAGAAGAGGCTCTGGGGACATCCTACCTCCTGCCTTTTGCAAACTGCACATTATGTGCATAACACTGAGTTGCATTGCAGGCACAATCCCATTTCAGTCCTTATAGAAATGCCACAAGGTAGTGAAATTTTTTAATCTCCACTTCACAGAAAAATAGAAATAGAGAGTTGCTAGAAGTCATTGAGCTAGTTAGTGTCAGAGTCCGGATTCAAATTCAGAATGACATCAAAGCCCTATATGCTGTGCTGTCTTGGGTTCAGAGAGGCACTGGCCCCAGAGAAAGAGGAGAGGCCATGTAGGGAATGATGTCCTACCAGTAGGACTTGTATCCTTTGATTTTCTCTTGAATGAATCTCTTGAATCTCCTCTCTCTCTTTTCTTAGACACTCAAGACATTTCTGTATCTGTTCCTGGAAAGAAGGAACATAAAATATTTAAGATGGAAACATGGTTTGCTAAGGGTTGTCATCTTGTCCAACCCTCTGCTTCCAGAGAAGGAATGGTCCAAGGGAAGGAGCCAATCCCTCAGCCGACAATGCCTGGGCCTTAATTGTCCTTCACAGCTTACTTTCTTTGGGTCATTTTCCTCTGGCTTTTATCATCCAAGAATTTTGATCAGGGCTTTGGCCCTTTATCCTGTGTCAACACAGGCTGCAACTTGGTATTCCCACTTGAACCTTTCTTTCTTCAGGTAAAACATTGATTTATTTTGCCTTTAGTAAGTGGAATCTGGGATCTGTCCTGAGCTTGATGAGCCCTTCTTTGAAATTATTTCAATTTTCTCACATGTCCCAAAAGGAGCACACCCAAACAACCCCCTCTTGTGAATGGAATTGATTTTTTGGTGTATGATTCTAAAGGGGAGAAGAGACTTAGACAATACAAAGATAATCAGTGAACTGTTTTAAAATTGCTTGCTGTAGAATAGAGTTAGGAACAGGTACACACATGTAAATGTTTGCATAGGTAAATTTAAAAATACATATAGAACTCTCAACATCAAATACTAATTAATTGACATATATATCCACTTATACTAAAAATACAATATACAAACAACTAAAACTAGCACACACTCATTTAATGACGGATAAAATTATATACCACATATATTTTGCCTTCTTATATACAAATACCAATTCATTCACAAACATAAGCACTCAAACAGTAACATTTACACACTCAAATATTCAGCCCAAACACAGTGCACACACTGGTAAACATGCAAACATTAATACCTACCCATACCATATGTGCCATCATTGCCTCAAATACAAATTCACACATGCTCAGACACACACACACTCACATTTTGGTCACACATCCTTTCAACAAGTATGTACTGAGCTCCTCTTTTGTATTGGCCATAAGTGAATAACATACACTATGTATGCTTCAAACACAAACACAAGGTCTTCCATGCCAGGGTCTATTGCTTGGGTAATGACAGGGGTCAGGAGATAGAATTTGGCTCCATAGTGGCCCAACTAATCCAGAGCTCTGCTCTGATTCTTAGTCCAGACCCACCCTGGAAAGGCCCCAGTTAGCCCTCTCCTACCCTATAGGGCCTTGCTGCCTCCTCCAGGAAGCGCACAGTATGGGCTCGGTGCTCCTCAGCTTCCCGGCACACCACGCACAACTGCATCTCATCATCCTCACAGAAGAAGTAGACCTTCTCCCCATGCTCCTGGCAGACATTGTCCTCTGCGCTCGGCCTGGACACCAGTTTGAGGCGCTCGATATTCTCTACCACACTGGCCAGCTGCCAGTTGGGCCGGAAGCTCCCTGGGCGGAAAGGATCCTTGCAGAGTGGACAAGTGAGGGGTTCCTCGGGGTCTGGGCCTGGGATCTCACAGTAACGAGTGAGGCAGCCACGGCAGAAGTTGTGGCCACAGTCGATGGTGACTGGCTCCCTCAGGGAGCCTTGGCAGATGGGGCAATTGACTTCATCTTCCAGGCTGGTCACAGAGGTGGCAGAGGCCATGGTGCTGCTGTGTCTGGGACCTCCTCAAAATCACCCTCTCTGCTTGGCTGAGGAAGAAGGACTAGGAGAACAGTGAGAACATACATTCACACACACATCTGCACACAGCCAGGAACAGACACATCTTAAGTACACATTGACACCCTCATGGTCATACACACACACAAGGGCAAGGCACCCACTTGCATTTCTGGTGGCCAGAGTTCTGCTGTCCTCCTCCCAAAGGAACAGACACACACCTTCCAACAGCAGAGTAGAGAAATAGCAGTAGTGGTGGAGGAGAAGGGGTCACAGCATTGCAGAGATAACTTCAGTTCTCTCTGGACAAGCACACATGACTTAGGACAGGGAGTTCCTTCTGCCCATGCAGAGACACTCACAGCAGAAGTGGTGGTATCTCAACTGTTCACAGTAGAAAAGGATCATTCTTCTTGTCACAACAGCAGGGAGAACCTGATGCCACCCCAGTCTCCTTGCCCATGGCCAGCTGTCTCCAGGCAGATGAGACATATCAGCCAACCCAGGGGAGTATGGGGACCCAGATAAGGCGGCTGTGCCCAGAGAACACACTCAGGCTACTTTACCAGTGATGCCCTGACTGGCCTGCTATAGGCTTCCAGAGAGGTATCTCTGTGGGGGAAGAGAAAGATAACAGCAACAGCCTTTATGATGACTACATTCCTCACACTGAAACATAGGATCTTATTTTTAACTCCCACCTGCTATACTGCTATTAGAATATGATCTAGGCTAACCCAGGCTATTTTTATGGGTGGCCATAATTTGCACTCAGATCTGTGTGTGTCAAAGTCATGCTGTCTGGTAAAAATACAATGTGAGCCACATATGCCATCTAAACTTTTCTTATAGCCATAATATAAAATGTAAAAAGTGAAAATAATTTTACTATTTTATTTAGCCTCAAATCTATCATTTTAACATATAATCAATATAAAATCAGTATTAAGGTATTCTTTGAAATCTGGGGCATATTTACACAGACAATGCATGTCACTTGGTACTGGCCACCTCTCCATTTCTGTAGCCACATGTGGCTGAGGAATTGCTGTGACAACACAGCTCCCAGGGGGGCATGCTCCGCTGGTAGGCAGGTAGGGTGGAAGAAAGGTGATGCATAAAACAACTGACGTGCAAAGGCAGTGAAACAGGGTGAGGCTAATCAGCAATGGGAAAGTTGAAGGAGTTTTTCCTTGGTTTTAGTTACAGGTACAGGTGAGTGGATGAAGAACTGTGGCTGTTTGATCATTGTCTTGGCTGGGAGTCTCAGAAGAGCACAGGCTGAAAGTTGGCAAACTTAGATTGACCTCACCTCTGCGTCTGTGTAGCTCTTCCACACAGGGAAGGTCATTTAGCTTCTCAGTGTACATTTCCTTCCTTGTAAAATGAAGGTAATCATACATTCCCACAAGCGTTCCCATCAGACTGGATATAATAATATGAAATATAGTTGTTATATAAATATGGCTGAGTATATTTATCTCACTGAATAAACTTTTTAAATTTTATCAACATGAATCATGTGTATTATGGGATCTTGCCTTCTCCCACCTGCAATCGAAAGTTAAAATTGAAGTACAATATTACTGGAACCCCTGGGACACTGGTGCTAGGGGTAGAGGGCGTGAGGACTCTGAGAGACACCAGCCTGGGCAAATGAGGTGAGGCAAGGCAAGGAGAGGAGGGAAGAGGAGAGGACCCATGAGCATCAGGCACCTGGAGGACCTGGGCATCTAAACAGGGTGGGTCCTGGAGTTAGTCACCTAAATTGAGGCTGGACTTTGCATGCTGTAGGCAAGCCAGAAGTTTATGGCTCTCACCTGCACAATAAAGCAGGAGACATCTACCCAATTCTTCCTACCCCACAGTGGTCAACGGAGGAATTCCAGGAAACTCCATTTCTCTGTGACCTCATGACATGCAGTGCTCCCCTCTCCGGGGGCCTACTGGAAAAGTCAGAAGTGGGGGAGAGGCTGGCCAGGCCACTGCTGGGAGTGCTTGGTAACCTGAGACACCTTGGAGTTTGGACCAACTCTTTGGACACTAACCAAGGCTCTGGGAAGCAGCAGAGGTAGAACCAGGTGGTTTTCCTAACATCCTTTCCTTCTATGACTCATGCAAAAGTTACTCAATTACAGAAGGAAAAGAATTTGTGGGGCCTGAGGCAGAGGTCTGAGTGGATGGCCTAGGGAAGGCACCTTGATGCCCTCAACCTCCTCCTGGGAAGAAGCCTCCTGTCCTGCCTGCCAGGAGCCCCTGGAGGATGCAGTGACTGCCACCTGAGGATATATATATCTTCTGCCTGTGGTAATTCCCTCATCCTTCCACACAGGTTCCAGTCTTCCAGCAGAGTCTTGCTCTGTCCTCTCTGCAAGAAAGACAGAGACCCTTGCGGTCCCTATGTCTCTGGGCCCTCTGAGGGAGACTTACTGCAGGAAGCATGACAAGAACATTTTCTTCTGTGAGAATGATACTGAGTTCCACTGAATGCTGTGCTGAGAAGACCCCTTCCATCAGGCCCACACCGTGGGCTTCCTCAATGAGGCCATCCAGCCCTACCAGATAAGTAGTGTGGCTTTAGCATGGGCCTGTTGGGGCAGAACAGTGTAGTGTCTTGGTGAAGGGAATAAGAATCTGAGTGAAGGGCCATGGCTCCACATCAGGTACTCCAAGGCTGTTGGAACACTGGAGCACTCCCAGACTTGGGGACATGGTTCCACTGGATGTATAGTTGTTCACAGTTGAGGGGCATGGAGGGCAGGGCTTCAGCTCCAGCCCTCAGAGGATCCTACGGTGATGAATCAAAAAGAATTATAGCCATGTCTTTATCTCTGTGGAAGGAAAGAGAGCCTTAATAAAGAGTAGGATCTCCTGAAAGGTGAGTAGTGAGTGGACCTGGTTGCCCAGGATCCAGACTGGATATGGGATTGATTTACCAAGGCCCTGACTACAGGCTCAGAGGGAAGAGGGACAGGAGGAGCACCCTGCTGGCACTGCTCTTCTTTTTGAGGAAAGGCAATGTGGCAGTAGCCCATCTGGTTTCAGGGACATCATCCCTTCCTGTCTGCCTCTCAGGTCTGGGAGTGGTCTCCTCAGAAGTATCTCTCAGGTCTTTAATTTTTCATTATCCCCACAACAACTAGCAAATCCAGGTTTTCCCTGTTACCTAGACTTTGCATGGTCTCCAATGCATTCCCTGTCTTCACTGTCACCCTTCCAACCACTCTCCAAATTGCTATGAGGTAGATCTTTCTCAAACCCAAAGAAGATCATGTTTTGCTCCCCTACACACAATCTCTCCACGGATCCCTAATTCCCAAAGAAGGCCCAGTATCTGTAGCAAGGCATCCAAGGCCATTTGCAGTGGGGATCATGCTTACTTGTGGAGTCTCATCTCAGCTGCCCTTCCCAAGGCACAATGTATCCAGCCAGATTGACCTGTATGTACCTGTTGTTTTCTGAATTGTTTTACTCTTTCTTGTTTCTAATAATTTTCACATGCAGTAACTTCCTCCTAGAATATTCTCTCTAGAGCCTCACTTTTTTTTTTTTAACAATTGTTAAATGTAGAGTTCTGTGGCATTAAGTCCTCTCCTCCCTTTCTCATCCAACTGGAAATTTATCTTTCAAGGCCTACTATAAATGTTTTTTTGCTTTCTAAAACCCTTCCCTTGTCCCTACAGACAGAATTGTTCCCTTCTTTGTGTTCCCATCTTGCTGAGTGCCCACCTTAATTGTTGCATTTGTCTATATGTATTTTATCCATTCATGACTGACTCTTTCCCTAGGTGGTGATCTCTTTAAGAACAACTGGACCTCTCATCTTTGAATTCCTCAGCACTCAATGGTGTGCCAAGAACATGGTAGACACTTAATATCTGTGAGTCAAATTATGAATTAAACCACCTCTTTTCTCCCCACAGGACAATCTCAGGAGTCAGTTGGAAGCCCTGACCATGGAGAGAGATGAGATTGAGGACAGAAAGAGTTGGGAGGACCAGAAGCCCCGTGTGTTTCTGGTAGAGTCCACATCATTAGCCATTTTCTACTCTGGGGTTTTCATAATAGACCCTGGGAGCTTGCTGTCTATTGCCTGGCAAAAAAAAAAAAATAATAATAAAATAAAAAACTAGAAAACTGTTCTTATTCACCTCTCTCACTCTGTACAAGGGCATTTTGGAGTTGAGAGTATGGAATCTCAGAATATCAGAGCTGGAAGTGGTTTTTGACATCTAATCCAAGACCCACTTCATCAGTCATATTTTTACAAGCAAAAAATTGAAGTCCAGTAAAGTAATGCTCCCAAGGCCACAATGCAAAGCCCAAGTTTATGATGAAATAGCTAGAACCTAAGTCTCTTCACCCAAGTCCATTGCTGTTACCATTGCAGTATGTCTGTCTGACTGAAGATATTGCTTTCTAATGAGATATTTAGGACCAAAAGATGTATGTTAGTGTCTGCATTCTAGTTCTAACCATCAGGCTGACCTCAGGACAGTGGGCAATGATGTGACTATATCTGGCTCTTTCCAACATATTATGTGTTACAATGTTATCCAGGAGAAAATTTGCAGTATGAGAATTTCTGGTACCTTGACCAAGGAGACAAAATTTTGGGACAGAAAGATCTCTCCAGAACCCCTTAATTCCCATCAAAATATTCCCTGTAGGTGGTAACCTCAATGGCTAAGGCCAATATCACACACTCTTCCAGTAAGTTGTAACTCTAATTACAGCTTCCTCCTGTTTCAAATGTTCTCTAAAAATGACTATATGCATTTCCACCTGCCACTAAGGAATATATCATTGAGTTAGGATGGTATCATAGATGTAGAAAAATTTTTGAACAGTTCAGCATGGCTCTGAGAGCATAACATGTCATTATTATCAGAATCTCTAAGTAAAACAAGAACATAGCCCTCATTGTTGGTAAGTTTATCCTGAGACCCACCTACTTCTACCATAGTGTTTTGGGGGAGAATGAGTCTTTGAACTAGTTACTGTCTATTCCTCTTAATCAATAGCAAGCATATAGATGATTGTCCTGGAAGCCAGCTCTGTGAGCTTCTTCCTAACCATGCCTATCTCTACCACTCACAAACTCAGATTGAAAGCAAGAAGCAGCAGGTAGAAGCAGCTTTTGAGAGGTTGCAGCAGGAGCTAGGGGGGAATCAGCAGTGTCTCCTACTGACCAGGATGAGTGAACTAGAGCAGCAAATCTGGAAGGAGAGAGACAAAGGTCACTGAGGAGGTTGCCTGGCTTGAAACTCAGGTCAAGGAGCTGCAGGAGAAATGTCAGCAACCACCAAGCAAACTTACACAAGTGAGAGACAGCCCACTACCTCAAATAAGAGAAAGACTCCACAGGAAGGGACATGCTGTGGGCTGGAAGATGCTGGAGAGAGGGAGGAAAAGGGAAGTG